CTTGTTTTGTGATCCATTCTACTAGCCTGTGTCTCTTAATTGGTGAGTTTAAGCCATTAACATTTAGGGTTATTATTGAGATATGGGTTGTTCTTCCAGCCATATTTGTTTATTTCTGTTACTAAACATTGTTTGTTTTCCTCTTTGATTGTTTCCCCCCCCCCTTTACTGTCCTACCTCCCACTGTTGGTTTTCATTGTTATTTTCCATTTCCTCTTCCTGTAATACTTTGGCTAGGATGTTTTGAAGAGATGGTTTTCTAGCTGCGAATTCTTTAAACTTTTGTTTATCGTGGAAGGTTTTAATTTCATTCTCCATCCTGAAGCTTAATTTCGCTGGATACACAATTCTTGGTTGGAACCCATTGTCTTTCAGTGTTTGAAATATGTTATTCCAGGATCTTCTAGCTTTCAGAGTCTGTGTTGAAAGATCAGCTGTTATCCTGATTGGCTTGCCCCTAAATGTAATCTGCTTCCTTTCTCTTGTAGCTTTTAAAATTCTCTCCTTATTCTGTATGTTGGGCATCTTCATTATAATGTGTCTAGGTGTGGATCTCTTATGATTTTGCACATTCGGCGTCCTGTAGGCTTCTAGGATTTGGGATTCTGTCTCATTCTTCAAGTCTGGGAAGTTTTCTTGTATTATTTCATGGAATAGACTGCTCATTCCTTTGGTTTGGAGCTCTGTACCTTCCTGTATCCCAATGACTCTTAAGTTTGGTCTCTTAATGTTATCCCATATTTCTTGGATGTTCTGCTCATGGTTTCTTAACAGTCTTGCTGAGCTGTCTATGTTCTTTTCCAGTTGAAATACTTTGTCTTCATTGTCTGATGTTCTATCTTCTAAGTGTTCTACTCTGTTGGTAGTATTCTCCATTGAGTTTTTAAGTTGGTTTATTGCTTCCTGCATTTCTAGGATTTCTGATTGCTTGTTTTTTATAACCTCTATCTCCCTGTATAGTTGATCCTTTGCTTCCTGGATTTGTTTGCGTAATTCGTTGTCGAAGTGATCTTTCATTGTCTGATTTTGCTGTTTAATGTCTTCCTTGATACTCCAGATCATCTGAAGCATGTATATCCTGAATTCTTTATCTGACATTCCATCTGCTGCAGCTGTTACCTCTTCTAAAGTTGCGTTGACCTGCATTGCTTGTGGTCCTTTCTTTCCTTGTCTTTTCATACTGCTTGCGTATCTTTCCTGCAGGTGCGGGCGGCGGCTCTGCTCTCTCCTTATTCCAATTGGGGTGTCGTGGCTACCACGCCGGCAGGTCACTGGGCCTGTTCTGGGAGCTGGTGGCGGCTCTGTTCTGCCCCTACTCCAATTGGGGTGTCGTGTCTGTCGTACCAGCAGGCCACTGGGCCTGTCCTGCTGGTCGGTCGCAGATCTGCCCACCTTTCGGGCACGAGTGGAGGCTCTGCTTTGCCCCTACTCCAATTGGGGTGTCGTGACTACCCCGCCTGCAGGATGCTGGGTCTGTTCCTGGCAAGGGAGGCGACTCTGCTCTGTCCCTACTCCAATTAGGGTGGTGTTTGTACCCCGCCGGCAGGCTCCTGGGCCTGATCCGCCGGTCTGTTGTAGGTCTGCCTACCTTGAAGGCGCTGGCGGCGGATCTGCCCTGCCCCTCCTACCACGCCTGCGGACCCCTGGGCCTGATCTGCAGGTTGATCACTGGTCTGCTCACCCTGCGGGCACGGGTGGCGGTTCCGCTCCACCCCCACTCCAATTGGGGTCACGTGACCACCACACCGGCAGGGCCTGATCCGGGCGTGGGATAAGGATCTGCTCTGCCCCTACTCGAGTTGGGGTGACGTGTGTACCACACTGGCAGGCCACTGGGCCTGACCCGCCAGGCTGTCACAGGTCTGTTTACCTTGCAAGCGCGAAGGGCGGCTCTGCCCTGCCCCTCCTACCACGCCCATGTACTACTGGGTCGTGGGTCTGCCCACCTGGCGGGTGTGGGTGGCGGCTCCGCTCCGCCCCCTCTCCAATTGGGGGCACGCGGTCACCACGCTGGCGAGCCGCTGGGCCTGCTCCGGGGGCTGGCGGCGGCCCGGCTCCTTCCCTCTGGCTCGAGGACAAATTGAGGAGACTCGGGTGACTGAGCCTCACCCCCCTTACCAGGAGACCAACTGCTTATGTCACCGCTGGTATTGATGAAGATCTCTCCTCCACCGCTTTCTGCTGACATCAGATCTCTGCCATGTTGGTATCCTATGCGAATGGCAGCATTTCGTTCCCCTTGCCAGGCAACCCAAGCAATGGGTGAGTCCTGACCTGCCCTCAGCAGGACCCGGACCGAGACACAGTTTCCGCGGGCTCCTAGCCCCGGTCCAGGGAAGTTCCGGGAGCCGGAACTCGGCCGCTCCGTGCTCGGTGTAAGCTCCTATAAGTGTAGGCTCCAAGAAGCAGCCCCCGCGGGCTCAGTTCCGGGAGCTGGAATTCGGCTTCTTGGTGTTTCGTGTTTGCTCTGATATTAGCAGGGTCCAAGAAGCAGCCTCCGCGGGCTCCGCAGCCCTGAGCCAGGGCGGTTCCGGGACGGTTCCGGGAGCCGGAACTCGGCCGCTCTGTGCTCGGTGTAAGCTCCTATAAGTGTAAGCTCCAAGAAGCAGTCCCCGCGGGCTCAGTTCCGGGAGCTGGAATTCGGCTTCTTGGTGTTTCGTGTTTGCTCTGATATTAGCAGGGTCCAAGAAGCAGCCTCCGCAGGCTCCGCAGCCCGGAGCCAGGGCGGTTCCGGGACGGTTCCGGGAGCCGGGACTCGGCCGCCCCGCACTCCGTGTTCACTCCGATAAGATCAGATTTTAAGAAGCCCCCAGGCGCTGAACCCTAGCAATCTGTCTGCAAGCCGCAGGCGAATTGCAGCCTGAAATTACCTGTTCTATGGCTGAATGAGCTGCGGTCAGTCAAAAACAGGTGTGGTGACGTCAGTTTACCAACATGGTGGCTGCTGGCCTCCTCTGTGGTCTGACCGGTGTGGAGAACCAAGATGGACCGCTTCCTTCCCCGTCTCGAACCCAGAATTCAGCCCTGAGTGCGGTGCTTGCGCGTCTGGCAGAAACTGCAGCGCTGTAACCCTGCGTCTCTATCCCAGCGCGCCTTGCAGACTCTAGCCGCGGGGCGATTTGCTGAATAAGCAGTGTTACCCTCCGTGCGACAAACCTCTCGCGTTTGAGTCCCCGTAGCCGATCCTCATGCGATGGAAATCCTTCCTCCAGGTTCCGGCGCACCCCACTATTGCTGGAAATTCCTAACAAGATATCCTTTAGCCGTCCTGACTTGTCATACTCCCACACAGTGAAGCAGCACACGGGGGTAATGCACTCCCCTCGCCGCCATCTTCCTCATTTTGCCTTTTTTCATAAAAATATAAATTCTAGCATCTCAGTAAAATTACCTACAGGGAAAATTATAAAAGAGATGAAATGTTTCTGAAACCCATTACAACCTTGTCAGTATCCTATCTCCCTCTGTCTCTTCCTCACCCCATCCCTCTCCAAAAAAAAAAAAGAAAGAAACAAAGAACAAAAACAAAACAACAACAACAAAAAATATGCTTACCTTTTTCCATTTCCAGTGGTTCTCCTTGGGTGTACTTGAGATCCCCTGAAGTTTGTTTTTTGGGGTTGGCTTTTAGATACAGATGCCTGGGCTGTACCTCATATCAATTGATTCCAAAATTTAGGAGATTGTTCCCTAGAGTTTTAGCAGCCCCCCAGCTGATTCTAATGTATGATCAGAAAGGAGACCCACTGTAGCAGACCATTAATGCAAACCTACTAAAAAAGTTGATAAAAAGGTTCCCAGTCTTGGTTGTACATTAGAATCACAAGGGGGAGTTTAAAAATAAATAAATAAATAAATAAATACACACAAAGACAATGCCCAGGCTCAATTCAGGGGCATCCAGACTCTCCAAGTTCTGCTTATTGGGTTTTTTGTACAAGCATTCCACCTAATTTGAATGTGAGCCATCAGTTTCTGGTGTGACCCTTCACAGAGGTATTTGCATTTTCATAAGCCTTAATGATTCTAAGAAGCTATTTCAATGACTGAAAAAAAAGAAGAGAGTTCTGGGAAAATAGACATATATCTGGGAAGATAGATGTCAGTCTGTACCCTACAAGTCTCCTCTCCTTCCACACGCTTAGTCAAATTCACTTGATGTGTGTCTGACTGAGGTTCAGGCCCTGGGAAGACACAGCTGTGATAGTAGACATGTTTTACTTGGAGGCCACAGCAGCCCCCAGTCCCTGAGTCTCTCCACAGGCCTTTTTATGTGGAGACCAAACAAAGAAGGCACCAGGTTACATAAGAGAGTACAGGCCAGCAAGGAGATGTTGGTGACTTTGAGCACATTCGCTGAATCAGAGTGTTTATGACCTTGACTACATACTAAAATATAGCCCACCAAAAGCGTTGGCAAGAAAGCCTAACTATCGCCAACTTGGGTCTACCCCCTTCAACAGGGTCCTTCTTTGCCTGTGACTGGATCCCAGAATGCTTTTGGTTGTTTTGTTGTTTGGTACTAGTGATTAAACCCCAGGGTGTTTACCACTGAGTTATGTCCCCAGCCCTTTTTTTTATTTTTTATTTTGAGATAGGGTTTTACTAAGTTGCCTAGGGCCTTGCTTAGTTGCTAAGGCTAGCTTTGAACCTGCTATCCTCCTGCCTCAGCCTCCCGAGTTGCTGGAATTATAGGTATGAGCCACCACCTCTGGTCCAGTATGTTACTACTCATTACTAAAAATTGTACATTATAAAAATGATAGTTTTGTCTTTAGAGTTGTTTTTTGATTATCTCCAAACCTTTTTCATATGAAACTACAGCTTTGCATTTTTAATTTGTATAGATATGTAAAATTGGGTGAGCTAAGAAAAAAGTAAGACTCCTAATGATGTGTGTGATTAAGCATGAATCTTTACATAAAGAAATTTGTCTTCATTTGAATTTTCTGTGGATTTCAAAATTAAAGGTATTCACAGACGCCAATTTTTTCTTTCAGGACTCTCTGCACCTGAGAGAAAGATTTTCTTTTCTTTCTACAAATAGTATTACTTATGTAAGTATTTATATATTTTTCTCTTCACTCTATACAATCTTTGGAGAAAACAAATGGCCCATTTCCAAGTGCAAGGCAAGAATGTCAGTGCTTTTATTTATTTATTTATTTAATTTGGGTACTGGGATTGAACCCAGGGGCATTTAACCACTGTGCCACATCCCTAGCCCTTTTTATATTTTATTTTAAGACAGGGTCTTTCTAAGTTGCTTATGGCCTCAATAAATTGCTGAGACTGGCATCAAACTTTCAATCCTCTTATCTCAGCCTCCTGAATCACTAGGATTACAGGTGTATTCCACCAGACCCAACTTGTGAGCACCTTTTAGAAGAGCGCTTGGCTGGGTTACTATCTTTCTTCTTACTGGGAGTAAGGTCTATTCTGAGGCTTGAGGGGAGCAAGAACACCAGTTGATCCCAGGTTGCTGATACATAAAGGACTTCAAACTTTAATTGTTTTAGCTTGTCCTCTAAATGAAGTCCATCAAGACTATAGTCCATCATATAAGTTTAAACTTGACTATTTGTTAGATACCTGCACACTGCTGCTATGCTTTTGTATGAATTAATATCTTAACACAGTCTATATTTACATCCTAAAAAATCAACTAATTTGTATTTTATTTTTTGGAATTTTGTTTAAAATATTTTTTTAGTTGTAGATGAATACAATATCTTTCTTTATTTATTTTTATGTAGTGCTGAGGATCGAACCCAGTACCTCACATGTGCGAGGCTAGCACTCTACCACTGAGCTACAGCCCCAGCCCCTATTTTTTGGAATATTTTTAAAGCACTGAATTTTTTCTAAGTATTTAAAATATATTTGTTCATACATATATATATATATATATATATATATATATATATATATATATACACATATACATATATACATATATGATTGTTCTAAAAGTTAATATGGAAGGGAAAAGGAATTAGAATAGCTATAATAGTTTTGGAAAATAATAGGTTGACTCATGAAATATTAACTCTTATAATAACAGATAAATCTCAAAAATAAGTATGTTGAATGAAAGAAACCAATAAACACAACAAAGTGACATATAAAGAAAGAAAAATGATATAGTAGGACAAATCACTGTGCTGAATTTCAAGACATATAACTACAGCCATCAACACTGTGTGATATTGGCATAGGGATGGATACATAGATCAATGGAACAGAATAGAGAACCCAGAAATTGACCCACACCTATACACGAATAATTGATTTCTGACAAAGGTGAAAAAGGAATTCAATAAAACAATGACAGTATTGTCAACAAATGATAGGGGAACAGTTAGCTAATATTTATAGGCAAAAAATAAATAAATAAATCTTGACCTAAACTTTACCCTTTGTACAAAAACAAACAATGGATCGTGGATTTATGTGTAAAGTTTAAGCTATTAGAAAACAATATTTAGGACCTAGTGCTTCATGATCAGTTTTTAGATATCAAAACCATAGTCCTAGACAAAAAGAGTCAATACTTGGCTATCATAACATTTTAAAGCTCTTTTTCCATGAAAGACCCTGTTAAGATGTAAGGGAAAAAAGACAAGCTATAGGCTGGGAGAATATATTTACAAATCACATTTCTTACAAAGGACTCATATCTAAAGCACATAAAGAATGGACAAAATTCAACAGTTAAAAAAGAATACAGTTTCAATTAGAAAATAGGCAAAAGACATGAAGAGCTATCTCACCAAAGAACAGGTAGCAAGAAAACACATAAAAAGATGTTCAACTATATGAGCCATTAGGAAAATGCAAATTAAAACCACAATACAATATCAAAATATCTCAAATAAAAAATATTGGCACTCTTAAATTATTAATAGGATTGTGAAATAGTGCAGCCACTCTGGAAAACAGTATGGCAGTTTGATATAAAACTCAACATACAGTTACCATAAAACCCAGCAATTGTACTACTGGACCTTTATCATGAACAAATGGAAACTTATTTTCAGATGAAAACCTATACATCAATGTTCATAGCAGCTCTATATACAATATCCAAAACTGAAAAAAAAAAACAAAATGCCCTACATTTGATGAAGAGTTAAACAGGGATAGGGGTACAGCTCAATGCTAGAGTGCATGCTTAAGAAGTACAAGGCCTTTTTCAATCTCCAGTATGCACATACACACACACACACAATGTATTTTTAAAGAGTTAAACAAACAGCAGTGTATCTATACCATAGAATACTACTTGGCACTTGGTCATAATATGAAACAATTGATAAAACTTGGATTAATCCCAAGAGATTCATGCAGAGTTTTTTAAAAAATGCCAATCTCAAGAGGTTTATATGCCATGCAATTTCATTTATGCAACATTCTCAAAATGACAAAGTAATAGAAAGAGATTAATAGTTTAGGATTGATAGTAAGGAGGCAAATGAGTATGACTATACAGGATGACATGAGGGAGAACTTTGCGGAGATGAAATAGTGTGTATCCTGATTACAATGGTGAGTATATAAATCTACACTTGAGATAAAATGACATATCAGTGTGCATGCCCATTGTGCCAGTGTCAAGGTCCTGTTTGGATGTCGTGCTGTAGTTGTGCAAATGTAGTCATTGGAGGAAACTGGGTAAAGAGTGGACAGAAACTTCCTATACTTTGTTCACAACCTCCTACTCTGTAATTATTTCAAATAGTTTAGTTGTTTTTCTTTTCATAAGCATTGATTTTTTAAGTATAGGTATTTAAAATATATGATTTTAAAATCCTGTTTCAACATTTCCATGCTTTTAATATACTGCAGTTCTCAAAAGTTGTAGACAGCCTGTGCCTCTCGAACCTCTGACCTCTTGGGAAGTGTGAGATGTAAAGCCCACACGCCAGACAGGCCCTAACATCTCTTGGGAGGCCCAGTTGGGAACACCCCTAAAGAATGCTCCCTCGGGTTCCCAAGGCCTGGGGAGGGATACATAGACCCAGGGAAACAATAGGCAAGACTCTTCTTGACCCACACCTGATCCCTTCATATATGCTTCTCTTTCACACCCACACAAACACACACACACACACTTTTCAGTGACTAATGCTTCCATGACCTTCATGGTAGGCCACTTTACCAACTTAATTGGATTCTAATCTCTAATCTATGTAAAAGGTCCTATAGGATCACATTATGTACCTTGGCTACCCCTGGGATGTTGCTAAGAGATGCCTTCATAGCAGGTAAACCATCCTAGAGATTTCGTAAAACAAGACTTAATCCTGTTGTGTGACCTGTTACGTAATTGAGTTTTATGGGGCACGCATGGGTTGAAGGAAAGAAAGGAGAACAGTATGTTATGTTTTTATTATTTTAACACATCCTTCTCTTAAGTATCCTTCCTGTTTACCACTTTTCTTATTATTTTCTGTATTTCTTCCACCTAGGAATGTTTTCTTAAGTCTTTGAACAAGAAATCTTATTATCTACATGAATCCATTTGTTTACACATAGCTATTTCTAGTTACAACTATGTCTGGCAAGGGTGTAAAGGCCTTCTTTATATAATGCTTATTATAAAATGCACCCTCAACTTAATCTCCCTTGTAGCTGGGAGTATGCATAAATTCCACTTCTATGAACTCCTATGATTAGGATATATTTTCCAATCAGAATTGAATTCCAATCAGAATTAAATTCTTCCCCCAAATTACTTTTTATTTTTTTTTACATGTTATTTATATAATCATCCCATTTTGTGGTAACACTTTTCATTTCAAAATCATTAGCATATTTTATTGTCATCTTGCAAGCAAAGCCTTGACAAAGACTTCTATGCAGATAGTTTATTAGGAAGGTGACTCTAGGAAACTAAGAGTCAGTGGCAGAGGGCCCAACCCGGGAGCTTGGGAAAGACAGTACCAACTGGAACTCACGTTGAGTCAGCCACTTGTAGACGACTGATCTCTGTTCCACTGGGACTGTGTGAAGAGTCTTATGAAATGTGTCAGAACTGTGTGCCAAAAGAAAGAGGAAGTATTTACTCATGGAGTTCTCCTCCTGTTGATCTGTGGTGGCCCCAAGGGTTGTGCATATCTGGGCACCAGACAGGCTCAAACTTCAAAGGATCTCCAGGACAAGAATCAGGAGGTAAAAGATGAGTTTCTGTTAGGCCCTAGAGCTTGATCAGAGCTCTGCTACTGCCCAGAGACTAGAAGTAGAATCAGGAAGATTTGAAATGGAGCTCAATATGACTAAAAAATCACCGACCTTCACGTTTCTGAATGATGCTAGCCTGAGGCTTAGCATAGATAGCTTTTACAATATTGAGGTATGTTCCCGTTATCCCTAGTTTTTCTAGAGTTTTGAACATAAAGGGATGCTGTACTTTGTCGAATGCTTTTTCCGCATCTATCGAGATGATCATATGGTTCTTATTTTTAAGTCTATTGATGTGGTGAATAACATTTATTGATTTCAGTATATTGAACCAGCCTTGCATCCCAGGGATGAATCCTACTTGATCATGATGCACGATCTTTTAGATATGTTTCTGTATCCGATTTGCCAGAATTTTATTGAGGATTTTTGCATCTAGGTTCATTAGAGATATTGGTCTGTGGTTTTCTTTCTTTGAAGTGTCTTTGTCTGGTTTAGGAATCAGGGTGATGTTGGCCTCGTAGAATGAATTTGGAAGTTCTCCCTCTTTTTCTATTTCCTGAAATAGCTTGAAAAGTATTGGTATTAGTTCTTCTTTAAAGGTTTTGTAAAACTCTGCTATATACCCATCCGGTCCTGGGCTTTTCTTAGTTGGTAGTCTTTTGATGGCTTATTCTATTTCCTCAATTGATATTGGTCTGTTTAGGTTGGGTATATCCTCCTGACTCAATCTGGGCAGATCATATGACTTAAGAAATTTATCGATGCCTTCACTATCTTCTATTTTATTGGAGTATAAAGATTCAAAATAATTTCTAATTATCTTCTGTATTTCTGAAGTGTCTGTTGTGATATTGCCTTTTTCATCCCGTATGCTAGTAATTTGAGTTCTCTCTCTTCTTCTCTTCGTTAGCATGGCTAAGGGTCTGTCGATCTTATTTAATTTTTCAAAGAACCAACTTTTAGTTTTGTCAATTTTTCAATTGTTTCTTTTGTTTCGACGGAGGCATGAAGAGTTTGAGTAACTTGCCCAAGATCACATTGTTCAAAAGAGGTAGAACAAAAAAATAGTACCATGGAGTCAATATCTTCATTTAAAAGAAAAGTTTATGGCAAATTATGATAAATGAATGTAATGGCCAAATAGTCAAAGTCTGGAATCACTCTCTTTGAAATGATTAAGATAATTCAAAGGAAAATATAATTAATCTTATTGCAGGACACTGGCAATTTCAAGTCAATAATTTGCTTGCCAATTTCCATCCAGCTTGAGAGAGGAAAAAATAATATATCAGAATAAATATGGAGGAGACCTTCTTTGAGCATACAATCCAGTTCTGAAGGGTAGAATAATTAAGCCATCAGTCAGAAGTTTGAGGGTTTGAATTATAAAGTTATTAACTGATTAGCAACTAACAATATTGTATAATTTAAATTGCTAAGTAAGTTATATTAATAGATATCACTAAAAATTTTCTAAATGGCACAGATGTGCTTCTATATGAACAGCCCTGATCATCATGGGTGCTTTTCCATATATGGTCATGACTTCTCTGACACTGTTCAGGATATCACCAGCTGGTTTATAAAATGATTTCAATGTTGGGTTAGTTAAATTACTCAGAATTTCTGAGCAAGTACAGGAAGTCCTATATTTCTTGTCCTTTTCTCCTGTTTTGAAAATTCCACATCACATTCATTGAGTTTACTTTTAACCCATTTGAGAGAAAGAAGTAATGTCATTAACGATGTCCTCCCCTACTTCTTTCCTTATTTCCTCCCCTTGCCCATTGGTTTCTCTTTGATCACTGGGCTTCTTGATATCACACTGTGCCTGGGACAGAGTCACCACTGCTACTCCCAACTCCTGCACTCCATTCTTCTAGTGTTGTTCAACAAATATTTGTCCAGTGCCTGGACTGTGGTGGATGGTACTCCTAAACACTGAGGATACATCATTAGAAAACAGAGACTTTTCCAACCCAAAAAGATTAACTATAGGCTTAAACAAAATGTTGAGAAATTTTAAGAAAAAATCAACACTGAAAGAAGAAATAATATTCTTCACAAGTATGGATAGTAGCCTAGGTTAAGGTATTAGATCATAGAAACTTTTTAAAATTTAAATGTCATTAGCTATTTATAATGACATCTCAGATTAGTTTTAACTTGCATTTGTTTTATTTGGGGTAAGATTAAGGACCTTTTTCTATATTTAAAAGTATTTTCTACTTCATTAGAATGAACTATCAGCTCATATCCTTTGCCCGATTTTCTAGTGGACAATTGGGGGTTTTCTTATTGATTTGTACTAGTTGACAATATTTTTTGCTCTTTTGTTGATTATCTTCTGACTTTGTTTACAGTTCTTTTGCTTTGCAAGAGTTATTGACTTTTATGTAATCACATTTTTCCATCTACTCTCATGGTTTAATCATGTTGCAAAAGGGCTTTCCTCCTCTAAGATAATAAAAACATTCGCCATGGTTGCTTCCTGTTCTACTATAGTTTTATTTTTTAAAAATTAAATGTTTAATATATATCAAATTTACCTTGGAATACGGTATAAGGTATGGATTCAGTTTTTTATTCCAATTGACCAATATTAACTATTGAATAACCCATCTTCTTCTCCTCAACTTGAAGTATAGATGTTTGGGTATATTTCAGATTTTATTTTTTACTCTACTCCATTGGACTATTTCTGTTCCTTTGACAGTAGTAAATTAATTATTGTAGCTCTATAAAATTTTAAATTGTTTAATAGGACTAATATTCCATTAATTATCCTACTTTACAGAATTTATATTAAATTAAGGAAAACAATGTCTTTGTGGGGCTGAACTTTCTCATCCAAGAACACGCCATACATTTCCATTTAGCAAATCTCCAACTTTTAAAAGCATTTAAAATTTTTGTTCATATATATCTTGCACACATCTTTCTATCTTATTTCATATTGTCTATTTTGTTGCAGTGATAGTAGGGGCCTTTATTCAATTAAATCTTCTAACTACTTTGTCTTTAGGATGTATTATTAATACTGATTTTAATTAGGTTCCGAGACAAAATATTGAATTTTGTTTGTATATATGGATTCTTTTTTGTTAATTTTCCTGGAATTTCCAAGTCTTGGCTTAATTATCTGCAATCTCTTTTGCATTTCTATACCTCTAAATTCTTTGTCTAGTTTAGTTTTATTAGGTAGAACCTCTAGAACAAAAATAACTAAAGTCATAGCAAACAATTTTTTCTGGTTTCTGATTTTACTATGAATTTTTCTAGTAATTCTCTTTTAAGCATAACAGTGTATTTTAGGCTAAGATAGACACTTTTTCCATACTTAGGGAATATATATTATTTTACTATAATGAAGAACAAATGTGGAATTTTAACATGTCTACTTTTATACATAGATATGTTCATATTTTTCTCCATAAATTTTATGGTAAATTATATTAATAGATTTTCTAATGTTGAATTTATAGAACTATTCTTTATTTTTTAGGACTAATCTTTACATTCCTAGAATAACGCTCATTTAACCAATTGTACTTTCTCTTAAAAAGCTGCTAGATTCTGTTTACTAAAGTTTTATTTGGGATTTTTATATAACTAAATGTAAGCGAATTGTTCTATAATTTATTAGCACATACCTTATCATATTTTTCTCTGAGAATTTTTTGAATCACAAGTGTTTAATAAATGTAATATTAATGTAATATAGGTCCACTGTTTAAGACAAGTATCTTGGTTTTCACTTTATCCAGAGAAGATTTTTACTAGTTATTTTGTTCAATAAAATATATATGACAATTTGTACTTACCTAATTTTAGGGAGAATACTCTTGAGATAACCAGAACATTAGAACATCAGATAATTACACTAATTCCTACTTATAATTCTCATTAATTTTTCCATGACCAAAGCATTTGTGTATATGTTTTTCAGTAATGGAGAAAACTTGTACAGTTATGCTTCCTCTTACAATGAATTCTTCAGAAAAGCCACAGACTGTCTGCATTTTTGGAACAGGGGATTTTGGAAGATCACTTGGATTTAAAATGTTCCAGTGTGGTTATTCTGTTGTATTTGGAAGTCGAAACTCCAGGATGTCCAGCCTGCTGCCCAGTGATGCCGAGGTCTTCAGCTATTCAGAAGCTGCCCAGAAGTCTGACATCATACTTATTGCAATCCACAGAGAGCATTATGAATTTCTCAGAGAACTAACTGAGGATCTCAATGGGAAAATATTGGTAGATGTCAGCAACAACCCCAAAATTAATCAGTATCCAGAATCTAATGCAGAATACCTTGCTCAGTTGGTGCCGGGAGCTTATGTGGTAAAAACATTTAACACCATTTCAGCCTGGGCTCTCCAATCAGGAGCACTGGATGCAAGTCGGCAGGTGAGATTAAATGAATTTGCCCTCACTCTTTAAAAAGTGAATCTTTTAATGTGCACTTACCTCCAAGGTCAGAAAATACAATCTCCAAATAAAATGCCCAGTAAATATTTTATATTTCTAATATGTACCAAGAATAATTTTCTTGGGTTTGACCATGTAAGAGAGTCAATTATTGTGATTTATTTCCCATGGTCTGCACTTTAATTTTTTTTTAGTTTGATGGAACCCACTAATACCAGTCTCTGGGAGCCTTTCTCTTGTCAGCACTAGAAACTAATATAGCTTGTTGAATATCCTCTTCTACTCCCATTACCTGTACAAAATTGGTTCCATTTGTGCACTGAGATTAGAAGCCATCGTAAGTGATGTGGCACCCACTAATACAGAAAAAAAGATCAAGCCACTCACACTGTGGAGACCACCAGGTCTTCTTTGTCAAGTCTTATATCTACACAGAGTGCCTAAAACCACCCTTCAGTAAAAATCCTAAAAAAAAAAAAAAATACCTATCTAGCTCTCCAGCACACCTGTGCTAGTTTAAATAACATCTCATTGTATATGTTAATTCCACATCCTTGTTTGAGAAACAGTTCACCTTGACAGGTCATTGTTCTGCACGGTACTTGTATACACTTTCAAAACAATTATTAAATGCCAAAAAAGAGTAAATACAGAATTAATTATTTTGAACCCAGGTGTTTGTCTGTGGAAATGACAGCAAAGCCAAGCAAAGAGTGATGGACATTGTTCGTGCTCTTGGACTTACCCCGTTGGATCGAGGATCTCTCAAGGCAGCCACCGAAATTGAAAACTACCCCCTGCAACTATTTCCCATGTGGAGGTTCCCCTTCTATTTGTCTGCTGCACTCTGTCTCTTCTTCTTTATCTACTGTGTTATAAGAGACGTAATCTACCTCTATGTGAATGAGAACAAAGACAGCACATTTCGCATAGCTGTATCCATTCCGAATCGTGTCTTCCCTATAACAGCACTTACCCTGCTTGCGTTGGTTTACCTTCCTGGCGTCATTGCCGCCATCCTGCAGCTGTACCAAGGTACCAAATACCGACGATTCCCAGACTGGCTCGACCACTGGATGCTTTGCAGAAAGCAGCTTGGCTTGGTGGCTTTGGGGTTCGCCTTCCTTCACGCCATCTACACGCTTGTGATTCCTATTCGTTATTATGTACGATGGAGGATAAGAAACACAACCATTACTCAGGTAAATCTCTACTCACTGGTATTCCCCTAGTCCTTATATCAAAGAGGAATTTGACTACATGATATTCCATTTCCAAAAATAGAGAAAATCACTCCTCTGAGCATCTTTATTTTATTTATTTACTTAGTGGCAGGGATTGAACCCAGGGGTGCTTAAACACAGACTGACCCACATCCCCAACCCTTTTTATTTTTTATTTTGAGACACGGTGTCACTAAGTTGCTTAGGGCCTCACTTAGCTGCTGAGGCTGGCCTTGAACTTTGCAATCCTCCTGCCTCAGCCTCCTGAGCCACTGGGATTACAGGTATGCACCACTGTACCTGGCTAAGCATCTGTATTTTTAAAATTAAATAGAGATTTCATGACTAAGGTTGTTTTAATGAATTCAGTTGAGATCTCACATAACTGTTAAGAATAAAAGTTATATTCCCAGGCTCACTTGGGTCCAGATCTGTATTCCCAAGAGCTCACTGGGATACTAACAAACTGGCATATTTTGAGCTCAGGAAACCTAAGGACACCTACTCAATAAAAGAAAACCCATGTGTTTTCAAGTTTCTACTTTCATGCACTCTACTTCCTTTTGGAAGTCAAAACCAACTGTCTTGTAAATAAGGAGCCTTCCCAAACAATTGTGCTATGGCAGCAATGCAAACAGATTCACAAAATGTTGCTTCCTGCTCTATGAATGTTTGACTTGAAGGATGTTGTCCTCCGTAACTAGAAAAGTAAATAATTCTGAGCAAATATCAAATATTATCTTATGCCAAGTCAAAAGACTCAGAATCAGTTCAAGGTGTCTTAAAGCAATCTCAGAAAAAGTATTGTAAGTCATTTCTAGTTTAGAAATAATCAGTTTTGATCAATCCATCTTACTGCAGTCTCAAAGAATATTAGTCAATAACTCATTGATGATGCTTCTGTGGGTTTCTCTACTTCATTTCCCTAAAACATACATGAAAGTTTCTAGGGTTAGAGTCACACTACAAGAGCGTGATTCCTCTCAATCTGTGGTGTGACAGACTTGATTCTATATGAAGAGAAGATCAATGTGAAAGAACCCAGACTTTGTGTGTGTGAATTATCAACAGAAAAACAGAATTATGATGTGATTACTTGAGAACATTAAGTTTTGCTTGAGGAACAAAAAAATCCATACAGAATGAAGTTTTAAGTAAATGTTTACTTAGTTTCAGGGATTTATAGTCTAATTTAAAACTCCTTATACAACTCCCAGAGTCAAGAATTGTAATAAAATCCCAGCAGAAAGAATTACTGTTTCTACCAAAAATATTTCTAAGTGTATTTTTTACAATTATTTTTAAATGATTGAGAAAAAATGCCATACAATTTTCAGCAGCAAATAACCCATGCGTAGTTACTGTTTAATTCCTTTAAAAATATGAGCAGTTTACAAAAAAATATATAGTTTTTTAAAATTTATTATAATTGTTCTTAGGTGATCACCAAGAAAGATGATCCATTTTTAACCTCTGTGGCCTGGCATAGTGATTCATATTTATCTTTGGGAATCCTTGGATTTTTTCTGTTTGTGCTCTTGGGAATCACTTCTTTGCCATCAGTTAGCAACATGATGAACTGGAGAGAGTTCCGGTTTATCCAGGTAAGGACTTAAACTCAGGTACAAACAGGAAGATTCCATAATGGTTTGGTTTCCTAGTGGCACACTTTTTTTTTTGTATGTATGTATACACTTTTTTATTTTTTGGAAAAAATTTAATTTGTTATATATAACAACAGAATGCCTTAAAATTCATATTACATATATAGAGCACAATTTTTTTAAATCTCTAGTTGTACACAAAGTAGAGTCACATTTTTTGTTGCTTCATACATGTATTTAGGGTAACGATAACCATCACATTCCACTGTCTTTCTTACCCTATGCCCCCTTCCTTTCCCTCCATCCCCTTTTCTCCTTTGCCTTATTTGGAGTTTACTTAATCCTCCCATCCTGCCCGCTGCCACATTATTAAATTCTGAATTAGCATCCTTAAATCAGAGAAATCATTTCACATTTGTTTTTTGGGGATTGGCAAATTTCACCTAGCATTATATTCTCCAGCTCCATCAATTTACCTGCAAGTGTCATGATTTTATTCTCTCGTAATGCTGAATAATATTCCATTGTGTGTATATACCACATTTTCTTAATCCATTCATCTAATGAAGGTCATCTAGGTTGGTTTCACATTTTAGCTATTGTGAACTGTGCTGCTATAAACATTGATGTGGCTTTGTCCCTGTAGAATGCTGTTTTTAAGTCCTTTGGGTACAGAATGAGGAGTGGGATAGCTGGGTCAAATGGTGGTTCCATTCCAAATTTTCCAAGGAATCTCCATACTGCTTTCCAGATTAGCTGCACCAATTTGAACTCCCACCAGCATTGTATGAGTATGTGCCTTTTACCCACATTCTCGCCAATACTTTGTTGCAATTTATATTCTTAAATGAATGGAGTAAGATGAAATCACAGAGTAGTTTTATTTTGCATTTCTCTAATTTCTAGAAATGTTGAACAATTTTTCATATATGTGTTGATAGATTGTATATCATCTTCTGAGAAGTGTCTGTTCAGTTTCTTGGCTCATTTATTGATTGGGTTATTTGTTTTGTTTGTTTTTTGTTTAAGTTTTTGGGTTCTTTATATATTACAGAGATTAATTCTATATCTGATGTGCATGTGGTGAAAATCTGTTCCCAATTAGTAGGCTCTTTATTCACTTCACTGATTGTATCTTTTGCTGAGAAGAACAGTTTTAGTTTGAATTCATCCTATTTATTGATGCTTAATATTTATTATGTGCTATGGAGTCTTATTAAGAAAGTTGGGGACTAATCAGGTATGATGAAGATTTGGGCCTACTTTTTCTTCTAACAGACATAGTGTTTCTGATTGAATTTTTAGGTCCTCGATTCAATTTGAGTTGAGTTTTTTGCATGGTGAGATATAGGGGTTTGCTTTCATTTATTGCATATAAATTTTCAATTTTCCCAGCATCATTTGTTGAAGAGGCTATCTTTTCTCCAATGTATATTTTTGATGCCTTTGTCAAATATAAGATAACTGTAATTATGGGAGTTAGTCTCTGTGTTATCTATTCTGTACCATTGGTCTACAAGTCTGTTTTGGTGCCAACACCATACTGTTTTTGTTATTTTTGATCTGTAGCATAGTATAAGGTCTGGTATCGTGAAGTCATCTGTTTCACTCTTGTTGCTAAGGATTGCTTTAGATATCCTGGATCTCTTATTTTGCCATATAAATTTCATGACAGCTTTTTGTATTTCTATGAGGAATGTCATTGAAATTTTGATTGAAATTGCATTAAATCTGTATAGTGCTTTTGGTAGTATGGTCATTTTGACAATATTAATTCTGACTATCACCCCCCCCCCAAAAAAAAATGTGAATCTTTCCATCTTCCCACATTTTTTAAAATTTTTTTTTCCTTAGGATTCTTTAGTTTTCATTGTAGAGGTCTTTCACCTCTTTTATTAAGTTGATTTCCAAGTATTTTATTATTATTTTTGATACTATTCTTAATTGGATAGTTTTTCTCATTTTCCTTTCAGAGGATTTGTTACTAATATACAGAATTCCCTGCAAATTCCATGATTTTGACATTTTTTAGTGCAGAGTAATACTCCATTGTGTATAAATGCCACATTTTTTTATCCATTCATCTATTGAAGGGCATCTAGGTTGGTTCCACAGTCTAGCTATTGTGAATTGTGCTGCTATGAACATCGATGTAGCAATATCCCTATAGTACACTCTTTTAAGGTCTTCAGGGAATAGTCCGAGAAGGGCAATAGCTGGGTCAAATGGTGGTTCCATTCCCAGCTTTCCCAGAAATCTCCATACTGCTTTCCAAATTGGCCGTACCAATTTGCAGTCCCACCAGCAATGTACGAGTGTACCCTTTTCCCCACATCCTCGCCAGCACTTGTTGTTCCTAGTGGCACACTTTGTCAAGATTTCTGACTACTCCCAGAGCCCTAGGTGTGGAGATATTACTATGTGCAATGTAAAAGAAACCCAAAGACAAACCTTTAACCTTCTGAAAATTAACCTTATAATATCAACATATTGATAAGGGAAGTAGACATTGCAATGAAGTTTAAAACCTTCAAAACAAGATTTGATAGATAACATCACTCCAGACTTATTGCTGATATGAAAGAGTGAAAATTGTTTTTTTCCACATATCAACCACCAGCACTGTATTAAAGGCAGTAACTATTCTTATAGACCAGTGGTCTTCAATGTATGGCAGCAGAAGTAGCAACAGCATGACCTGAGAACTTGTTAGATACACAAAGTCCCAGACTTCCTCCATAAGAAGCTCTGTAGGTGGGGCCCTGTGATTTGTTATTAAGTCTTCTGGATGATTGTGATGCATGCACATTGTGAGCCAGTATAATAAAAGAGATCACTAGTAATTGAAATTAGGTTTGAATATTAAGTCTCCCACAGATCAAATGCAGCCCAAAATTTCTCATAATACCTTTAATTGACATCAAGAAATAAACACTAAGTTTTAGAATTTAGGCCAAGGGAGAGGGAACAAAGTATAAATTTGCAAACTGCTCTTTATGGCAATAGAAATTAGCTAGCCTCTGCTTGCAAAGTAGCATATACTAATGCAGAGATTCTTGAGGTCATATTTGTCTCTGACCTCTAAAAAAAGATATAAAAGAATTTTAGCACTGAGGACCAAGGCAAGGTACATTAATTGTAACTCAAAAGAGTTTATCCCTGAGAAACTTTTCCATCCAGGCAGGTTAAGAGAAAGCTACCATGTCATCTGTAATAAGTCTTTCTTTTAATGAAATATTTATCATCAAGTATTAACCCATCAAGGAGGGTTAATATTTCTTCCTGTACTTAGCAAAGTGTCCTAAATATTATAGGTTTCAAATCTTTGTCATTATTGACAAATATTTTATTGGTTTATAGCATTTCACTTTAAGGTATAAATATATTAATGTATTTCTTTTTATTTCTTGTCTGCAGTCCAAACTGGGTTATTTGACCCTGATCTTATGCACAGCCCACGCCCTACTCTATGGCAGGAAGAGGTTCCTCAGCCCTTCAATTCTAAGATGGTACCTTCCTTCAGCTTATGTTTTAGCACTTATCATTCCCTGCACAGTGCTGGTGATCAAGTTTATCCTCATCATGCCGTGCATAAACAATACCCTTATGCGGATCCGACGGGGCTGGGAAAGGGATTCAAAATGCTCAAAATCAGCACTGAATGGAAAATCAGATATTTAAAGGAAAGTTGAATTTACCTGGACTTTTGATGCATAGTATTGAATGTTTAGAGAAGAATAATGGATACAGAAATGGGTAAGACAGCTCTTTTTCTCTCACCATGGCCTGAAGTTTATCAACACGGACAGAAACTTTGCTAACTGATAAAATGACAGATTGGAAGAGAACACCATTCTTTCTCAAGTTAGTGATGGGATCAGAGCAGGTCCCCCCCCCCCCTTCTCCTCTGAGGCCATGGGGCTGCCAACAGATTAGTTTTGTGGTTTCACATTAAGAAGTTTCTTTGCTGTAGGCAACATTCATGATCTTATCTTGCAAAATCCAGAAAAGTACATACAACTTCCTCCTTAGATTCAAGCACTGAGTTAAATGAATGAGAAAGTAGCACCACAATGACCACAGATAAAGGCTTTGCACAACATGTCTGAAGAATAGGCTCAAATGGAGTAAAAAGAATGAAATTTTTTGCTTCCTTTTTGGAAGTAAAATGGTGATCATAAATATGCCATAGTGTATTTTGGTTTTGTTGTTTTGTTTTACAATGCTATGGCCAATCCAGGACCTTGAACATGCTAGGCAAGCCACCGTACCACTGAGCTACACCTCCAACCCTGCCACAGTGAAATCCATGCTTAAGTGTATACCTTTATTTTGTTTTTAACAGTACATATATCTACCATGGAAAACTATTTTGGAACGCAACAAAAATATTGCATTTGATTGGAAGTAACCACGCCTTGGATATATACAAATCTATATAATTGTTTTAGTCAGGGTTTTTTTTTTTTTTTTTTTTTTTTTTGCCTCTGTGACCAAAAGACCTGAAAAGAACAATTTTAGTGGAGGAAAAGTTTATTTTGGAGCTCACCATTTCAGAAGTCTCAGAGCCCATGGTGAGGCAGAACATCATAGAAGAGGAGAACAGCTGGGGACATGGCTCCAGGAAGCAGAGAGAGCCTAAGCTCACAAAATATATACCCTAGAGGCATATCCCCAGTGACCCACCTCCTTCAGCCACACTCTACCTGCCTATAGTGACCCTCAGTCAGTCCCTATCAGGGGATTAACACACTGACTGGGATAGGGCTCTTATAACCCAATCATTTCACCTCTAAAACTTCTTGCATTTTCTCACACATGAGCTTTTAGGGGACAGCTCATATCCAAACCATAACAATTGTCATAAATCTTTCCTCTACAGGGATAGATATGGGAAAGACTGAATCAAAGTGGAACAGTATCCATTTGGATTTTCTCAGGGTGCAATAAGCAAGGAAGACTTGATAAAAGACTTTGAACAAAAAGTTAAAATAAATCAGAATTTTAGTTAGCAAACTAAATAAACATTGTAAAGCTTCACCATATTGATATTAATGCTTTATAAATTACATTTTAAAATATTGTACAATGCTAATCATCTATGAAATCCCAGCGACTCAGGAGGCCGGTGCAGGAGGATCACAAGCTCAAGGCCATCCTCAGTATTTTATCAAGGTTTTAAGCAATTCAGTGAGACCCTGTCTCAAAACAAAAAGGGTGGGGATGTAGCTCAGTGGTAAAGCACCCCTGGGCTAAATCCCTAGTAAAAGCAAAAAAATCAAATGAACAATCTGAAAAAGTAAATTTGACCAATGCCTAGATGCAGAGAATTACAGGCAATCACAGGGCAAAGAAAGTGTGAGCAGTAGTTTCTGTGAGACATGTCTATTCTCAAATCCTTGTTAGCATGTAAGAGTGTGGGATGGTTCTCACTGCTGTTCTGGGCTGACTCTGCCCTTTCCAAGATGACCTTCAGCAGAATGATCCCCATGGCTCTAGCATGGAACTAAAAGGAGACTTAAGCACATCTTCCCACGTCACCAAAATAACTAAAAAGCGTTGGGTTTGACATTTTTCTGCCTAATCTACAAAATCCGTTTATTTTTCTTTGCCTCTTACTTTTATGATTACATATTACACATGAAATTATATTATGTAATTAAAATATATTAAAATATTACCCCATAACCCAGAATGACTTTCAATAAAGCTTGTTCTATCTATATCAAATATTCATTTTTACTTCCTTTTACACTTAATTTCTTAAAGGTCTTAATCTCTACTTACATGGCATATATGTTTATTTAATGGCTGCATAATATTACATAAATGAGCTTTTATGTAAGCACTGCCCTAATGGAAAACATAGGCTATCTCCATTTTTTACTAAAACAAATAACATTTCAGAAAATCTTTGTGCTAGTAATATTTTTCCATATTTTCATTGTTCTCAGAAGACTTATCAAGAATTTGGATTACAAAATTAAAGAATGTATACTAGCATTTGCTATGTATTGCCAATTTAATTTTAAAGGTGACAATATCAATATTACCATTGGGTGAGGGTGTTGGTTTCATAGCAAAATTGTAGGTTTGGGGTTGTATTTCCATTTGTGTTTTCTTAAATAGAGCTGAGAAGGTACACAGAGCATATGCTCCTTTCATCTATCCTTGATCAACCCAAGTATGGATACAAAAAGCAGCAAGAGTGAGCAGGGCCAAGGTGTGCAGGGCTGACCATGGAGCGTCAGTGGGGAAGACAAGGGAGATATCACTGCTTACCCATGTTCTGCAAAGCAGCCTGTGTGCCAGAACTGGCCTAGAGAATTGGTGCCATTGTTTAAGTACCAAAGCTTAAGTACCATCCAGGATGGTCCAGAGAAGCCTGTGGAGTCAAGCCTTTCTAGAAAGAGTCACAGTCCTCCACTAAAAATAGAAAATGCCACATTTTTTTGTTGTTGTTGATATGTTCTAATTAGTTATGCATGACAGCAGAATGCATTTTGATTCATTGTACACAGATGGAGCACAACTTTTCATTTCTCTGGTTGTACATAATGTAGAGTTGCGACGTATATGCACTCATACATGCACCTAGGGTCTCACCAGTGTCCCACGTGGGCAGTAGGGATGGGGTTCCCCTCATGGAAAGAGTTGGATGAGAAATGAATACTAGGAAAAATAGGACAGCAAAAGAACCACAGGACACCGAAAATATCTTCAAAAACAAGGGCGGGATGGGCAAGCCGATCATATGGATTGGGCTTCTAGACTCTGGCAAAATGGAGCCTATGCCTGCTTCATTTATATTGGGAAACATCAAAGACCTTCCATAGAATGTGCTTCACCAAAAAGGTTAAAATTGGGCTGTCCAGATCCCAGTGCATTATGCCCATCTTCAGAGCTACTATGAGGGGTCTTTCTAGTACAGCAGAGATAAAAGTCATGTGCACTGGGCAATCTATTGCCACAGGAGAGCCATGGATAGTTTACAATGCCAAACCTAAATCTCCCTGGCTACCATACTGAGAAGACCCTCAAGTAATTCACGGTGGCTTCTCACACTAGGCTAATGAAGTTCATCTCAGTCTACCATCTTTCCTGCACCCATGCTCCCTCCCCTTCCCTCCTTTCCCTTTTCCAAAAGTTCATCCATTATCCCCACACCCACCCCACCCCCCATGATGGATCAGCATCCATGTATCAGAGAGAACATTCAGTCTTTGGATTTTAGGATTGGCTTACTTTGCTATGGTATTCTCCATCTGCATCCATTTACCTGCAAATGACATAATTTTATTCTCTTTTAAAGCTGAGTAATATTCCATTGTGTATATATGCCATAGTTTCTTTCCCCATTCATCTGTTGAAGGGCATCTAGGTTGGTTCCAAAGTTTAGCTATTGTGACTTGAGCTGCTATGAACATTGATGTGGCTGTGTCACTATAGTATGCTGATTTTAAATCCTTTGAGTATAGACTGAGGAGTGGGATACCTGGGTTAAATGGTGGTTCCATTCCAAGTTTTCTAAGAAATCTCCATATTGCTTTTCATAGCGGTTGCACCAATTTGCATTGCCACCAACAATATGTGAGTGTATTTCTCCACATCCTCGACAACATTTATTATTGCTTGTATTCATAATTGCCATTCTGACTAAAGTGAGATGAAATCTTAAAGTAATTTTGAGTTGCATTTCTCTAATTACTAGAGAAGTTGAATATTTATCATGTATTTGTTGATTGATTGTATATCTTCTTCTAAAAAGTGTCTATTCAGTTCCTTAACTCACTTATTGTTTGGGTTATTTATTTTTTTGGTGTTAAGTTTTTGAGTTCTTTATATAGCCTGGAGATCAAGGCTCTATCTGATGTGTGTATACTAAAAGATGTTCTCCCACCCTGTGGCCACTCTCTTTACCTTATTGTTTCCTTTGCTGAGATGAAGCTTTTTGGTTTGAATCCATCTCATTTATTGATTCTTGATTTTACTGCTTGTGCTTTAGGAGTCTTGTTAAGGAAGTCAGGACCTAATCCGACATGGTCTCTGCCAGGGTTGGGGGGCTTTCCTGGGCCTGCTCAGTCTCCACTGGTGTTCATGAGGCTGTCCTGGGCCTCACTAGTCTCTGCACAGATGGGCGGGCTGTCCTAGACCTTCCTGGTCCAATGCCACACCTTTTGTAAAACACTTGTAATGAAGACAAGCTCTATTTTTTATCGCCTAGTAAGAATACTCCACTGCAGGGGCTCAGTGGTACAGCACTTGCCTAGCATGTATGAGGCACTGGGTTAGCTCTTCAACACCACATTGGGGGAAAAAAAACCACAACTACATAAACAAAATAAAGGTATTGTGTCCATTACAATTAAAAATATTAAAAAAAAAAAAAGAATTCTCTACTTGAGTACTTAAAAAAGCCACCAGGAAGCCTGAAGTTGGAGATTACCCCGGTGGTTTCATCAGGTTCCCATCAGCCACCCAGAGAAGGCCAAGTTCTCCTTCCATCCTTCCAACAACCCTTCCTCCACCCAAAACCATCAAACTTATTTTACTGTCTTCACACAACTGGCTCTTCCAGGTGAAAAAAAAGAGTTTAGAACAGATAGAAACAGGTGCTTTGAGTGAATTGTACTCCTTTTAACAGATTCAACCTGTTCAACATAAAAATGTTGAACTAAACTTCTTTACCAGTGGTATGTTTCCTGTATTCTAAGAAAAAAATTATAAAGTTCATAGATCATTTATTTTTGTATTCTTTCGACTGATTTTATAAATGTGTACCCACTAAATGTTCCTTTTAAAATATTTTCTAGTTTTGTTTAATTCTGGTTTTGATTCATCCTCATTCCAAAGAAAGTGCCTAAAAGGTTTTGAATCACAGGAGTTCCAGCAAATGGGACTAAAAATGCCATCCCTAGTGATGAGGGTAAGGAGAGGGCAGTACATAGATTAAAAGCAGATGCATGGATTGGCAGCTTTGTGCAATATATGCTTGAGCTTAGCTGGGTGGTGCATTCCAAGTCCTGCTTGTGCTTCCACATGACCTCAGAGAGCATAGGCATCAGCTGTCTAAACACAGGGATGGCTATAGTATCCCACCCAGGAGTTTTGTGAGCATTGAAGAAAAGATGCTTTCCTTCTGAAGGCAGATGCCACCAGATCAGGACTAACAAGTGGCTTAACAAGTGGACTTCAGGTCGGATTCAGACAGTGCGATCTGGCATTAAATGTCCTGCACAACTGGATGGCTGCAGCCCTAATGGGTGTTAGTTATCATGCTTTCAAAATATGATTTAAAATACCACTGATGAAGAAAGAACTGGCAATTTGGAGTAAGCCAGAGCAAATGGGAAAAGCCCTTAAGCAAACCTACTTCAATTAGAAATTCATTCAAGAGCTCTTTATGCATTTATTGTTCAGGGATCACAAGAGTCCTGACAATGATGAATGTGTATAATGCATTTCACCTCTGGGAGCTCAAGAGATTCTGGAACTTCTCCCAAAATCGTGGAGAAAGGGCATTCAAGGTACTGCACACAAAGGTCACAATTTTCATTCTCATCACTACCAGCATCCCCACCATCACCAGGCCAACATACACACACACACACACACACACACACACACACACACCAGAAGAGCCCACAAATATCCTTACACAATCCTACTCCAATCCTCTATAAAAAGGATTACAATCTAAAAAAATCCTCCACTGTCTAAAGATTTGTTCAGTAGAACTTAGGGAAAGAGAATAAGTTACTCTTACCTCAAGTTCAAGGCAAAACACTGAACTCCCAAATAGGACCCAGGTGAGAGAAGGCTCAAGGGTAAAGGGACAGGACTGGAGAGAAGGGGAGAGTGGAAGAGTGGGACAGTGCATCCTGGCCTTCACCCAGGCAAGACTAAAAGCACCCAGTGCTGCTCGCTGCCTGCTGCAAGGGAATCTTGGATGGCTTTCAATGATCTCTATCATGTAACAGTATGAGCAAACCCTGTGCTAACACAACAGCTATTATCCCATTTAATCTTCCTAACAATTCTCTAATGTACTTTTTATTAACCCAACCTTTTCAGAAGAAGAAACTAAGCCTTGACAAAATAGTTCACGCAACCAGTAAGAGGCAGAGATAGACTTTGAATCCAGGCAGTCTGACTCTAGAACCATCCCCTCTGAACACAACTGTAGGATGGAGAACACAGTGCTATCCTCTAGAATTTCCTTGGAATCCACAAATTAGGCTAAAAAGACCAAATCACTGGCAATTCTATTCTGAAAGATTTTTTTTAAACAGGAATCTCTTTAACATTTTATATATTCTTGAATCCCCTGTTCTCAATACTCCCAACTTGCTTGTGTTGATTTCAATACATACTCCGAGGTGGTTGTAATGCAGGATCAACCCTGTGGCAACTGCCAGTTTAATCTTCCCACTTTGGCCACAAGTCTTCCTGAGCTCAGAGGGAGTTCTCCAGGGAAAGAGAAGCAAACCCCCCACCCCTACCCCCACCAAAGGACTCAAGAGAGCAGTGAAGGAGGGGACAGCTCCTCTCTCTCCAGCTCACCTGAGTGTTTTGTGTACTGAACCTATTTGTACTTGAGATCCAGTGACTCATGCAGAAAATTGCATAACACTTTTCATTTAGAGCTTCAATACTTGCCAAGGAATCTTAGTTCTTTAAAAATATATGCATATTTTTATATATAAGTTTTAGTCCTATTGCCTATAACCTAGAGCTGCCAGTCTCTCTGTTTTTTAAAAATGAAGGGCTGTTGGACTAGCACTCACAGTACATCAAAAACTAGTGAGACATAATCAATGAAAATCAGACTTTCCCCCATGATTTTTTAGAATCAAGAGGTTTTTAAGGAGTTCAATCAGAATACTAGTTCCATTTTTACTAATCCTTTCTTTCATGTTGATAATAGGGGTGAGAAAGAATGACAGACTCCCTGTTCTCATTTCATTACAGCAGAGTAGTAGTATCTGTGAACACTGGGAGCCAACACAGAGACTGCCCACAGAGTCTCTAACAGCCAGCCAGACTTCCCCTCTCATGATAGGGCACTGATGGACACCAGGAAGAAATCTCTCCCATATTTAGGCACTGTGGGCAGTTATTAGGTATCTCTCTCTTGTATCTCACCGAAGTTTTCTTAGTTGTACTTTCACCTATTTTTCTGAATGCTAACACCTAAAACAGGAATAAGGGCCCATATTTTTGTTTTGTGTTTTTTTTTTCCAGCTCATCATTGAGCAGTGTGCATCTCACACTTAAATATTTTGGCAACAATAAATGACCACTCAAGTTTTTAAACTTTAAGTTTCTGAATTTATCACAGACTGGTAATAAATGAGGTAGGATTAAAAAATAAATAGGTAGAAAGGAGACATAAAAAAAGGACAAGGAAACAAAATTTTAATTCAAAACTTCTACATACTGTTCCAGGCCTATCACTTCCCAAGCCAGTTTTCTTCCCACGTCGTCACTCCCAAGTTCCTGGGAAATCTATAAGTCTTAAAGTTTATGGTAAATTCACTCACATATGGTAATTATCTTCTGCACTATTAATTAGCTCACCAAAAAACAGGTTTAGCAAAGAAAAATACGATATTTTTAAAAACCTGTCATTGAGGGAGACTTTCCAGTGTTTCTATTGATCAGACAACGAAGACCACATCAGCCAGCATGCTGAAAATGACCAGACCACCAAAAACTGTCTTGAAATCAGTAGACTAATAACTTCCCTATATACCTTCCCATATCCACTTCTCAACAAGGTTCCTTTAAAAAAAAAAATTGGCAGGTGAAGTAGCCTGCTTTCTCTCTTGAGTGCATGTCTGCATTCCTAAATAAACCATAAACCTCATTCTATGCCTTTGACTGGTACATGATGGAATTCTTTCCCATCTTCCTAAGTCAAGGACCTGTTGGTCCAGGGTGGAGTTCCCCTTTGTCTCTGAGAACTCCTCAGGCCCTTCCTCCAGAGAGATACCTTTGCCTATGACACAAACACTTCACAAAGCAGCACTATCTGCAGAGCATACATTGACTATTAAACATAGGCCCCAGAAACCCAGGTTGGCTTGGTTTCTTCAGACACTGATCCTGAGGCAAGGATTCTGGGGCAAATGGTTTATCCTGTAAGTTAAATCATTAAATACCGGGAGAAGTAAAGTAGACAGGACAGGGGAGGAGTAAAGTGAGAACAGGGGAGGAGTAAAGTGTGAGTTTTTAAGCCAGTCGCCCACAGGGGTGACTTGGAGCTTAGCTCAGCTAGGCAACTCTAGGAGGTTGTGTCAAATATACCTGAGAACTATCATCATCTAGGTGAAAGAAAACTGTGGTTTTCATCCACTAAATCCCTGCTAATCGTTGGATAAGAAAAGCTGCCAGGAACATTCCAGCACTTCTGACTTTCCTACATACTATGCAGCCAGGACAAAAGTCCCACAGGCAAAGTGTTTCAGGTGTCCAGTCATCCAAGCGGCTTTCAGCTTGGGGAGGTGAATGCCAAGAGGAAATTGGTTGGCACTAATCTCATCTCAACCTTTGAACCACATTGTAGTGGGAAATTGTCAGATGGTATGATTGGCATTCACAGGGGAAACAAGGCTCTTCAACATATGAAAAGATTTTCTACTTCCTTCACTATGAGATGCATGAAGATTGAAACTGCATTGAAATGCTTCTTCGTACCTCACAGATGAGCAAAAATTCAAGTGTTTGAGCACACACTGTGTGGGTAAGGCATAGAAACATTTATTCTCCTACATTCATCTTGGATATGCAAAGTAGGACCACCCTTGTGGAGAGCAATTGGGCAACATTTTTCAAAATTAAAAATGCATAGTAGGTTTTGACTCAGGAGTCTCACTTCTGAGAATTTATCCCACAGATATACTTGCAGGCATTCCAGATGAAAAACAGTCATTGCTATTCCCTTTTCTTTTGTTCATGAATGAGAACATTATAAAAGCAGAATATGAGCAACTATTCAAGCATTCATCTGTAGGTCTGGTTAAGCAGAGTCTGCTGCTTTCACATAATGGAATTCTATGCAGTTGTTTAAAAAAAAAATAGGCACCTTCTTTTACATACATGGAAAGAAACATCCATGAATATTACTAAGTAAAGAATAAATAAAGGTAAAAACAACCTATATCGTTTGGCTCCTTTTGCATATGTGTATTTGCTTTTAATTGCCCAAAGAAACACTGAAAGGATTCAAAAGATTCATATTTAAACAGGATGGGCTAAGAGAAGAACAGAAGCAGTGGAAGCCTTGTATACCTCTTTATGTGATTTTAATTTTGTAATTACATGATGGGTTTGCCTAACTGTTAAAATAACCTTAAAGAGTAATTGATTGCATATCCATGCTAAGTCATCTTTTATTCATGCTAAACCTTTCCAGTTCATTCAGTCTGCCCTCTTGTATAATAATTTCCACATCTTCCATCATCCTGATCCCTCTTCTCCTACAAACATTTCAATGTTCCTTTCTAAATGTAGTTCCCTACACCAAAAGCAGCCAGGTTACAGCACAATATGATTCCCTTATGCTGGATCATGAGTCTCTATTTATATAGTGTCTGATCTTACACTAGTGTCTTTTTTCTTTCTTTCTTTTTTAAATAGTCACGTATTATTAGGATAACATCCGATGATATGCCTTAATTCTTTTCACATAAAATGTTAAAGCTATTCTCTCTATTGTGCCCCACTAGCCCCGACTCTATCTCCTTCAACCTCCTACACAGATTATCATTAATATTTTTAAACATCAATGCAAAGCAAAAACAAATATGTACTCTATATTCTCTTTACAGTAATTCTATAAACCTAAAACTGTTCCAAAATAGAAGACTTACGTTTTTAAAAAGCTACCTGATTCTGATTAAAGTTTATGTCATCAAAATTAACCTGTTGTACAGCCTAGAAGATTGTTTTAAATATTAATTCAATTTTTCAAGATACGGCTGTCTACACATTTCCTAAATATGGCTTCCATGTCTTTTAGATTTTGATAACAAATAGAGAGACATTTTATCCATAACCTTCAATTTACTTCAATATTTCGTAGACTAGATGAAGCTTAGAGATTGTCTAATCTTATAAACTCATTTCACAGATGTGGAAACTGAAGCCCAAGGGGGTGAAGTAATTTCTGGAAGGTCACACAGCTACATTGTAACAAAGCAGAATGAGGCCACAGATGACTTGATTTCCAGACAAGGAGATTTTCTGGTCCTTTTGGAAACAGATGATTCTGTTGAAAACAAATTGGTTGTAGATCAAAATCAAAAGGGTTACAAGGACAGATGGATTAGAAACAGGGACATCCAGTTACTGATTTTGTACGTCTCAGTCAGTGATGAGTACTTTACTTCCAACAAAATGTCAAGACTAAAGGAACAGTTTATCCAATGGTAGATTTAGGTTGTGATTATTTGAATACAACATAATGATAAATGATACTTTTACTTCCTTTCACATTCTGTGATCGATATTTGTTAGACATTTTAGGAATATTCAACAATAAAAAGTTGTGCATTATTTCATCCCTGTTGGAATTATTTCCTCCTTCACATGAAAACTTCGTCAAAGTGCTTTAATAGAAAATTTACAATGAAGTAGCTCTTTATACAATGCTACATAGAGCAAGCAGGCACTAGTAGCCATCATGAAAGGTGACCTACTCAGACATCCCTTCCAGAGTACCCACTGCAAAGCAGCCTAAGTGATTGACAACCTCCAACTCCCACACTTCGGAATGCACCACAGCATTCACAATGAAGGATATGGAAAATAACATTCCCCAAGAAAAGGGGAATTACAGCCCCCAGGAAGGAGGGAAGACAATGGGTCTCAGGACAGAAAAAGAAAACATTAGGCCCTGGGCCCTGGACTTTCATCCCTTCCCAGTAGGTAGGAGGTAAACATTAGGTTCTGGGCTCTAGTCTTTCCTCCTTTCCCAATAACACTTGAGTCCTGGAGGGGAAGGCAAACAAATGGACTCTGGGCTCTGGATTTTTATCCTAGTAACAATGAGTTTTAAGCTTTTACAACTGTTTTCCTGAGTTAGATTTTTAACATACACAACTAGTTTTCTAACTGCCCAAAAGGCACATCCTCAGTCTCTAATGATTAAGTCACATTCAACATTCTGCTATGATTAACTCTCATTAAGACCTATAAAACACAGACCCCTCTTGTAACCAGCCACCCCTGACAATGTGCTATTCCACTGCTGCTTAATAAAGACAGCTTGCTGATTTGAGATCTGTTCCCATTTTTGGTCATTTTTGTTTACACATATGATCCACATTGACCCTGGCTGCCCCCAGTAGATGAATGGACATGACAGAGAACCTAGAACCAAGCCATCCTATTTCATACAAGTTTCATCTAGTGACCAACATTTGCTCCCAATAGCCCAGGCTAGAGAATTTCACACCTACACTCTGATCTGAGTCTCTTCCTCCACAATTTTCCCTCCACTTTCATCTTTTGCAGGTATAAGATAGGCATTGGGGTGGGGGGTGCTGGGATTGTGGCTCAGTGATAGGGCATGTGCCTGGCATGTGTGAGGCACTGGATTTGATTCTCTGTACCATATGTAAATAAATAAAAATAAGGGTCCGTTGACAACTAAAAAAATATTTAAAAAATAAATAAAGATAGGCATTGCAATATGAAGACTCCCTCCTTCTTTACCATTTAAGGTGTTACCTCTAATAAATTTCTTACCTGGGGCTAGGGATGTAGCTCAGTTCAATGGTAGAGCTTGTGGTTTACATTAGCAAATGTTATCTTGCTATCTGCTTCTTGAAAGATCTATGCATCAATGGCACTGGCAAAAAAGTTGAAAAATAAGTTATTTGTATTATTAATATATCATAATAATTACAGCATTGTTATTATTGTTGTCATTTTTGTTATTATTACTATATCAAAATATACCCCTTAACCATAGTTTCACTAATTATTGCTCATTAAGTCAGGCTTAAATAAGTGAAAATGCACTTAATATTGTGTTAGAAAAATACATCTCTTTTCTCAAGCATTATTCCCCTATTCAAAAAAAGAAAAGACAATATGCCCTTCTAAAGGTCTAAAGATATAAAATGTCCTTAGAAATACACACACAAAAGTAAAAATATGTTTCCATTTCACTGAACATTACAAAGCTGATATTCTTAGGAGCAAAATGTGGCAAGGAGTTAGTGAAGGGAAAATGCTAGAACAATAAATTTGAAATCTGAGAGAAAGGAATGAGTTTAACCTTCAAATATCCAATAGACAGAAGAATGACAGTTGTGGAACAAGGTATCCCAAATGCTGAGGGATGTTTACCAAGTTTTAGTAAGATATAAACATCTTGTAACTCTTCAAAGCACAGACATGCTCTGAAAAACAGCCCAAGGCCACTCAAGGCAAAATGCCTAAACTGAGTCATCTCTTAACAGAAGTATTTTGCAGCCAGAGAAACCAAAATAAAGATATCAACCACCAAAGGCCTTGTACCAGACCTATCCCCATCCTCCTGGCCATAAACAGTTCCTGGATTCTGCTTTGATGAAAGGAAGAGGAAGAAGACAAAAAAAAAAAAAGTTACTTAAATTGACTGTGATATTGGCTAGGTGCGTGATTATTCTGCTGTAGAGAATTAAAGAATTATAGCATTACTTATACCCAGGAGTTATATAACAATTTTCTTTTTTTTTTTTCTTTCTTTTTTTTTTTTTTTGGTACTAGGGATTAAACCCAGGAGCACTGTGCCACTGAGCCACATCTCAGCCTTTTCTTAATTTATTTTGAGACAGTGTCATACTAAGTTGCCCATGTTGGCCTTGAACTTTCAATCCTCCTACCTCAGTCTCCCAAGTAACCATTATTATAGGCAAGCACCACCAGGCCCTTCTATCTATGCAGCAAAACTTATGGAAAGAGAGAAAATAAGAATTGACAAACTACAAGCAAGAACTAGGGAGGACAAAACAGCAAACAAAGAGAAATAAGGACTGAATTAAAAGAAATACACAAATAGATGGCATGAATGCATTATAAGAAAAATGGGTAATGTAAAGGGGTACACCTCAGTGGGAGAGCAGGTACTTGTCAGGCTTGAAGATCTGGTTCAATTCCCAGCACCTACCTCCCTGCAATAGAAAATGAAAAGCGAAGAGTGAAGGAACTCGAAGATTTTTAAAAACAAAAATTTCTTTTCACATCTCTGCTTTATTATATATTCACATTTTTTTAAATTTTTAAGATTCAGGAAATAGTAATCTAAATAGCAGCAGATAACAGAAATCTAATATTAAGTATAAACTGGTGAGCTATAAAGCAACACTTAGAAAATGAAACAACAACAACGAAATACATTTGAAACTGTTACTCAAGCATGTTTTCTGAATTTAAGAAGTTCTGAATCTGCATACCAAGGAGAAATGGAGAAATGCTTAAAATTGGTGAATATCAGACATACCTTATAAAATTATTAAACTTTGAAATTAAAGAAAAAATCCTTGAGGCATTCAGGAAAAATAAAAAACTTATTGGCATCAGTCTTCTAAAGTGTAACATTTTATGGTAGAAAACACTGGAGCAACAGTTTGAAGATATATTTAACATTTCTAAGATTTTGACATTTTCAAGGTGACAGAAAATATGAGCTTAGGATTTTACATCTAGTCAAATTTTTCTTCAAATATAAAGAACACAAAGAGTTGTGAACATACTAGAGCTCAGGGAATGTCCCTACCAGCCCTTCGTGAAGAAGGTACTAGAAAACAATCCAGCACAAGAGAATTGCAAAAGCTCCAGGAGAGGCTTGAGATGTGAGCACTAAGTGCCTTCAACTATAGAACCAGGACAGAGGGAGAGAAACAAGGCCACCAAAACAGAATATGAATTCCAGACGTTCTAATGCAAACATCAACAATCTGAAAGGAAGAAAAAGAATACATAAAAGTCAACCAGATACAAGGTATTAGCTTTTCAGATACATATTTTCAGAAAACCAGTAAAAAATAAATGTGAGTTAAGTATATCATTTGAAGCTGATAAACTAAAAAACAGTAGTATAAGTGTATTCAAGAGGCAAAACTATTCAATAAAATTGAGGGATGGAGCAAAAGAAAGGAAGAAGTAACTATTTGAAGTGTTGCTTCTCATAGCAAATAAAGAGACAGTAGTTAAAGAAAGAAAAGACCATGGGAATTATTATCACCAGATATTAAGATGTGTTTTAAAGGCACTATAATTAAAAGGTGTTTGTCCCATCATCCTATAGATAGGAAAACTCTAAAACCCTATAAAAATTTATAGGACACCTATACAATTGCTCGAGTTTTTATAAATGTCCCTAAATAGAGAATGATGGGGCAATGGAATTTATGTATGGTATAGATACACAAATAAAACAGAATAGAAGGTATATCAAGAGCCTCAAGTGTGGTTATCAAATCTCATATTTGAGAAAAGTGGCATCTCACTAAGGAAAAAGATGAACTATAATAAATTATGTTTGTTCTACATACAGTTTAGCTATATGCAGCAAATGATTAAAAATGTAAATTTGAACATCTTAGAAAATCATAATGGAGAGGTATGAAGTGGGATTTAAGAAGTATATAAATGGTTACTGTTATATTTCTTATTTGGTCTGTTTTTTGTGTCCTTATTAAAAAAAAATGCAGATACAGAGATGGATTGTGGCTCAGTGGTAGAGCACTCGCCTAGCATGTGTGAGGCACTGGGTTTGATCTTCAGCACCATGTTAAAAAAATAAGTAAACAAAATAAAGGTATTGTGTCCATCTACAACTAAAAAAAGAAATCTTAAAAAAAATGCAGATACAAAGAAAGAAGGCAAAAAATGACCACCGTTAATTCTAGATACAAGTATATATATGTTTGCTAGATGTTTTCTGTATCACAGAAGTAATTTGTATTTAACAAGAAAGCAATATGGCTAGTAAAGTAAAAACAAATCATGTTAAGACCGACAAATTTGGGGGGGAAAGAAAAAAAAACATGTGAGTACTACAGAATAGGGTACATTTAAAATAAATCACATTTTTAATGTAAAAATTAAAACTATACTGAATACCTAGGAAATGCCTTTGTCTAAATCCATTTGTACTGCTCTAATAAAATACCTGAGGTAGAGTGACTTATAAAGAACAGAAATTTATTTCTCAAAGTTCTGGAGGCTGGGGAGTCCAAGATCAAGTCTTCCAGCAGATTCCCTGACTGGTAGTAGCTGATTCTCCATTTCAGATGACACCCTGAATGCTGTGTCCCCCATAGTGAAAGGCAGACGAGCTAAAAGGGGGTTAACACTGTGTCCTCATGTGACAGAAGAAAGGAAATCCACCCTTTAAACCCTTTCATAAAGGCCCTAATCCCACCCACAAAGACTCTGCCTTCACATCACATCACTTCCTGAAGACCCCACCTCTTACTAATACTGTCACACAGGCCATTAAATTTCAACATATGAATTTTGTAGTACACATTCAGACCACAGCAGCCTTATCACCTGGGCTG